TTGTTCCATTCCTCATCAACACAAATGCCTACAGCATAAGTACTCATAGATTTACTTATATTGTCATTTGCTATATCTAAACAAAATGAGCATTTTTGAAACAAAGAGCCTAATTTGGCGATATCATCAATCATAGTTGCCAGTCTAATGTCTTTAGTTTTCCGTGACATCAACGATGACAGAAGCTACTTGTGGGGGATATGAACCTTCAGTTCTGACCAATTCTTTCCTCTAGCCTTAATTAAAGCTAACCTTACTGTCTCAGCTAAGTCCAATATTGAAATGTTTGTACATTTGTCCCTTATTGCCCAAGCTGTCTTCACTTGTCCCCTATGATTCTTTGCCACCACTCCCCTTCCCAGCCATCTAGTGTCGATATCCTCATAGACAGCTATCTGCAGATTGACTTCATTTGCTTCATCTCGTGCTTGAACATCTTGCATAGGTCCTCTGAATGTTTCAAAATTGCTCATTGGTTCTTGTTTTTCCTTTGCTAACACTTGCTCCTGCCAATCTTTTTGAGCTTTGTGAGCAATCTTCAAAGGATGTTTCTACTTTGAGTTGTATTGCCATTCATTCCTTGCCTTCCAAATTTGCCAAAGTATGTTGGTTGTTAGCTCAATGTGGCTTTGACCTTGTTTCCTTTTTGCTACTTCCATTACTGCATTCCACCAATCGGAAAAGTTACTTGACTGTGCCAATATCCCATCCCACTGAATTGGTACCATCTTCCACACCTCTCTAGCTCTCCAGCAGCTAAACAGCACATGCTCTATGGTTTCCACTTGTTTGCCACATCCTTTGCAGATTGGATCACCCTTCCCTGTCCTTTTGTAGACCTGGTTGTTCACTGGTAGAATTCCTTTAATGCACTTCCACAAAAAATGTTTCAATTTTCCTTTTACGTTTAGCTTCCATAACTTCTTCCATATGTTGCTGAAATTGCTTGCCACACTTGTTTCCCCTAGAGCTTCTCCTTTGTTTTTCCTTTGTTCATTCCATTCACATAAAAGTTTATGACCAGACTTCACAGTGTATTGACCAGTTTCACTGTGTATCCAATAGTTGCTATCCTCTCTCCCTGACAAACTAACAAGTATCTGCAGGATCTTTTCAGCATCTTTTTGTTGAAAGTTGAAAAGATTACGTGCCTGTTCCATCGGAAGCCCCTAATCAAATCTTCAACCTTAGACACATCACAGTTGGGAGGTTTGTCTGTTTGCACTCTACCATCCTTATTTCCTGGTATCCACCCATCGTTCCAGATATTTATGCTTCTGCCATTTCCCACCTTTCTTCTTGTTCCCTCCTGCACCAGGTCTCTTGAATCCATTAGACTTTGTCATATCCAAGATTACTGTTTTGGTACTTTGCACTTGAGAATGGATGTATTGTTGAAATATTTTGCCTTCAACACTTTGCTCACCAGTAAGTTGGGGTTGGTCAGGCTCCATACTTGTTTCCCCAGAAGAGCTTTATTAAAGCTCTGTAGTTCTTTAAAGCCTAGCTCTCCCCACTTTTTACCTTGAGTCATCTTCTCCCAAGAACACCAGTGAATCTTGTTCCTTTCCTCAGAATCTCCTTACCAGAATTTTGCTATTATAGAGCTTATCTCTCAGCACAGTTTGTTAGAGAGTTTGAAGCATAACATTGTGTAGACTGGCATGGCCATGGATATAGCTTGAATCATGACTTCCTTCCTTGCTCGACTGAGCATCTTACTTTTCCAGTTGCTTGCTCTATTTCTGATGTTGTCCTTGATAAAACCAAAAACTTGTTCTTTTGACCTAGTGATCACCATCGGAAGTCCCAGATACTTTTCTTGTGAAGCTGTCTGAATGCTTCCCAGTTGTTGAGTCACCACTGCCTTCTCCTCAGAATTCATATTTTTGCTAAAAAAAAAGACTGAGGACTTTTCCAGATTTATGCTCTGGCCTGATCCCTTCTCATATTGCTTTAATATGGTCATCAGTTCCCTTGCTTGTCCACTGTTAGTTTTACAAAAAATCAGTGAGTCATCAGCAAAAAATAGATGAGTAAGACATGGTCCACCTCTACTTATTTTCATGCCAAACAGCTTTCTCCTCTCAACAACCTGTCTCAGTAGATTTGAAAAACCTTTAGAGCACAAAAGAAATAAGTATGGTGAAAGCGGATCCCCCTGCCTAATGCCCCTCATAGGAGTTATGTATTCCTTAGGCTGTCTATTGATGTTGAAGGAGAAAGTTACAGTATTCAAGCAGTTCATGATCCATGTTCTCCACATACCACAAAAGCCCATTTTATCCATCACAGCATCCAAAAAGTTCCATTCCACTCTGTCATAAGCTTTAGACATGTCTAGTTTGACTGCCATATACCCATCTTTCCCTTGTTTTTTATTTTTCATGAAATGCAGAAGTTCATAGGAGAGAATGACATTATCCAGAATTTGTCTTCTAGGAATAAAAGCAGCCTGATTTTTACTAATACAAAATTTCAGCACAGTTTTAAGCCTATTGGCCAGGATTTTGGATATAATTTTATACACTACATTACACAGACTAATAGGCCTATAGTGCTTCATATCAGTGGGGTTCAAAACTTTAGGAATAAGAGAAATCAGTGTATGGTTCATAGACTTAAGCATGTGACCAGAATAAAAGAAAGAGTCTATGGCTTTAACCAGATCAATCTTTACTATTTTCCAAAATTTCTAGAAGAAAAAAGGAGTCATCCCATCTGGACCTGGAGATTTATTAGGATTCATAGCAAACAAAGCAGATTTAATCTCCTTTTCATTAACTGATCTAGTTAAGTTTTCATTCATACTAGGAGTTATTGAGTGTGGCATTCCTTTTAGTATGCTCTCTATCTCTTCACCCCCTGAGCTTGAAAAAAGATTGCTATAATATCCAGCCACTGTTTTTCCCAAATCTTCTTCATTCTCAGTCCATGTCCCATCACTGTTTTGAATGTTTAGCATTCTGTTCTGTTTTCTTCTACCCCTCACGCATGCATGAAAATAGCTAGTATTCCTGTCTTCTTCTCTTAGCCAATTCACTCTTGCCTTTTGGCTTCAGTATAATTCCTCTTCTGCATAAGCCTCTTGTAACTGTTGTTTTAGAACTTTTTTCCTAGCCTTTTTGTTCAGACAGTTAGCACTATCTAACTCACCTAATTGCTGTTTAACATGATTAATCTTCTGCTTAAAGTTACTAGAGAAACTATTTCTCCATTTGAGGAGAGCCACTCTACAATTTGCTATCTTTTTTGTTAGCCTAAACATGTTAGAACCTTCAAACCTTTGATTCCAAGCTCTTTCCACCACTTGACCTACTCCTTCTCTATTTAACCATCTTTTATCAAAAAAGAACCTTTTCTTTCTTTTCTCTGCCAGTGGATTAGTGTTAAACAATAATATGCTATGATCTGATGCATATGTTTCCAAATGGTCACAAGTAGCTCCTTCAAAAGTTTGATACCAGGCTGGACTGCATAAACCTCTATCCAACCTCTGTCTAACCTCCACTTCTTCTTCCCAGTTATTACTCCATGTCCAGGGGTTACCTTTAAAACCTATATCTACCAGTTCATTAGTTCCTATGAATTCCTTAAAGTTCATGAAACTCTACTCTTCTCTTAGCTTACCACCCCATTTCTCTTCATTTGAGACAATATCATTAAAGTCCCCAGCCAAGAGTCATCTGTCCCCCCATAGTCTCTTTCTTTCCCTAATGACTTGCCATTGATTCTTTCTGATTCTGCTCTCACAGCTAGCATATATTCCAATTAGCCACCAGTCCTCCTTGCTGTTTGAATCCTTAACATGAGCTTCTATTGTGAAGGCAGTAATAACTACTCTTATGACATCTATATTTCTGTTCCACATTAGGGTCATACCACCAGCTCTATTCATAGCTTCCACTACTGTCATCTCATCAAATCTGAGGATTGATTTGACTTTTTCCATGTATTTAATCCTATTTTTGGTCTCACTTAAGAAAACTATATTTGGAGAGAAGAGGTTGTTAGCCTCCCTTAGTTGGGGAACTGTCAAGGGGCTCCCCACTCCTTGACAATTCCACACCAAGACCTTCATTTATCATTGAGGGGCCATGTGTGGCTGGCCCCTACCCCTTCTGTTCCTTCCATCCTTACTTCAATTGTTAGTAAATCTACTTTGTTCCTTTTTGTTTCTTGTTCCTCCACTACAACATCTTCCATCTCTTCATCAACCAAACTTATCTTTCTTTTACCTTAATGTCCTCCACGGTTGCAGTTTCCATCTGGTGCTGGCAAAGCTTTGCTTCCCACACCAGGGGATCTCAGTTGTCTTTTCCTTCTGCTGTACTGCCTTCTTCCTCCTCTTTGCTGTTTCATTGCAATTTCTGAATCTATTTGCATGGGATTCTGGTCACCCCCTTGTATGACATTTTCCACCGTTAGAGCCTCCTTCAGCTCCAATGCCACCTCAACTAGGCTCATTTCTGATGACTCAGCCTCTCTCTCAACCTGCTGTTTTTGGTTCTCATTCTGACATCTATCTTCTCTCCTCGCAGCATTTGTACCACTACCTTCTTCTGCAATAAGAGTAGAATTCAAAATACTCACATTGGTCTTGTTTCCTTTCTCCAATTATGTCCTGATGGGGTCCTCCCACTGCAGTGCTTTTTTCCTTGTTATTCATTCATGTGTTTCTTTCTTCCTATAGGAGGCGCCCCTCTGTCCTCTCCTGCCTGCCAACTCCTGAACCTTGCGCTTGTGATTTTTTGTGGTTAACATGTCTAGGAACTAGTTCCCCATTTCTAAAACCCCAGTAACTTCTCTTAGGATTATATATACTCTGTTGTTCTTCTGTGGGGATGCCTTTCCGCCATTTGCTCTTAACCATGGCCCAAACTGGTTTTCAGACTTCCCTTTGGTTATGGAGATGAAACACTTACAGTTCCTTTCACCGTGACCAATTAAGCCACATTTATAGCAAAAGTCCGGGCATCCCAACCATTTGGTGGTTCCATTCATTTTGACATTCTTCCCCTCAGCAATGGTTGAGATATGTCAGCTGTCACTAAGATTTCCAGGTGCCTTCCTTTTTTCCCTCCTATTTGGGGAACTATTGCATCTCTGACTTCATAGAATACCTTACCAATTTTCCTGCCTATCTCCTTTGATATCCAGTGCACTGGTAAATTCCATATCTTCACCCATAGTGGTGCAAGGTTGAACGCTTCTTCGTCCTCTTCAACCCCCTCATACCAGTTCCTGACCACTAGTAGCTGGTTATCCAAAACCCAAGGTCCTCCATTTAAAATTTTGTCTCTGTCCTCCTCACAAGGAATATGGAACTGAAAAAGATTTGCACCTAATTCCATTATCCTGATATCTCTAGGATATCCCCAAACGGAGTTCACAAAATTTTTCACCCCAACAAAATTCATTATTTTTTCACCTTTCACTTTCCCTACAAGACTAACTTGACATTCTTTAATACCCAGGTGTATATCTCCCAAGTCCAAATTAGCTCCTCCCAACTCTTTTTCCGAAAGATCAAAATTTTCCATTATATCCACTAGTTCTTCTGCCATTGAGATACTAGAGAATATTACGAGGGAATACCACACTCAATAGACTTCTAATATGAGGTAAAACTAAGAACAGGAAACACACAAGCTAGCCGGCTACACCACAAAACTAAGAACAGAAAAACACACAAGCTAGCCAGCCACACCAATGCAGAAAAAACAAAGAAAAGACACGAAAAGAGAACCCTAAAACTAAGAATCAAGAACCAGAAAAAGACAGCTTAGGCAGTCAAGTAACATGTCAAAAACTCTTACCGAGTAGAAATGGCACTTTTCAAACCTATTCAACTGCTACAAACTTTGTTGTGATAGTTCCTTGTATTTCCACAGACCCTATTCTTGTCTCAGCTGGGTTCGTACAGAAGAGGACTCCAAGCCAGATAGACTTGCTTACTTGGAATTGAACCTTGTTTGGCAGAAAAACACTCTACGTACTAGCATCTTTAGTGTGCATGCCGGCATTAAAGATGATCTGGTCCTGTTTGAGATTTGGATTTCAGTTACAATTTTGAAAGGTGAGGGATTTTGAAAGTTTCAAAGTTTCAAGGATTTTCAACGGTGAGGAACTCTTAGAAAAGAGAGGGCACTCTTACCAAGAGAGAAAGAAACTCTCACAAAGGAGGATATCTATTGATTGATCGTCTTGCTATAGGGACCTTCTTATTGCTCTGTTTGGATTCTTTATTTTTTGAAAAATAAGTTTTTAATATACAATACTACAGTAACACATAAACAAAAACAACTACAAAAACACCACACGTATACAATATATCAAAAGGAACTCCAAATATACTGTAGTCACCAAAATTTTTATAAATCATTTTTATTTTTATTTTTATTTATGTCTATTTTTATTTTTCTAAGAAAAATCATTTTTATCTCATTTGATTTTTATTTGATTGATTTTGTAGGAAAATCAAAGAAAGAAGATAAAGGGGATCAAGAAAAACAACAAAAAAAAGAAAAAAAAAAGAGAAGAAAAGAAGAAGAAAGAAGAAAAGGCAGTTTTTCTATTAAAAATTTTTTTTTTTCCTACAGGCGCGCACAATTTTCTACAAGCCAACGAAACGAGCATGCAAGTACGAAGATGCAACTGGCATTTTTGGAACAAATTTTGGTTTCATTTTTCTGCCTTTTCTTTATTTCCTAAGCATTATCAGTACAATGCACCTCACTCATCAAGAAGTATCAAGAAATTTCTGGAAGATGGATCATCAAATGGCTCAAAATGAGCCAACGAAACCCACCTCATCTCAACCATTGAGAGGAGGATTTTAGGAGCTTTTGTTTCATTTAAATAGGAACAAAACACAGCTTTAGGGCAAAAGAAAAAGGAAGAGTTCTTCTGCAAAAATCTGGAAAAATGAGCTGGTGAACCAGCTCCATTCCAACCTGACTTTCTCTTTCATTTACCTCTTTTTAGAGTATTTATTTTTTCTGCAGCTTCTAGGGATAGAGAGAAAGAATTTTGTGTGAAACTTTGCCCAGATAATCACCATAATCCCCTCAAATCGAAGCCCGAACTGGGCTCCTCAAATTTTTTTTGGGCAGAAAATTGAGCCAGGGTTGACGAACCAATCCTGTTCGTCACCCTATTTCCACAAATCCCGACCTCATTTTGAGGATATTATTTTTTCTGAAATATATACGGTGTTAGAGGAGAAACTTTTGTCTTGAAACCGTCCCAAAAAAACATCCCTAAATTCCTTGAATTCGAGCTCCAATGTCCTCGCCTTACAGCTCTTAGCACAACTGTGGCAACCTGGTTTTTGTTCTTTGGGCGAAGTTTGCACGTTTCTTGGAAATTTACACTGCTGTTTTCGACTTCTATAAGCCTCAGAGGTAACCCTCGTTCACTTTTCTCTCTTTGCTCCAACTCATTTGCAAGTAAAAGTTCAGAAATCTTGCTCTCTTTGGTTCATGATGCATGATCTTGTGCTTGTGTTTGGAACTATAAATCTTGTGTTAATGTTTGAGATTGCATAGCCTCACGTGTTTAGATCCGAAATTTGGAAATTATTTTGGTAGGGTTTTGGGTTTGATAAGCTTCCAGATTTGCAGAAAAGCTTCGCACAGCTTGCATGGAGAAAATTGGAAATTTCACTTTTACCCCCTGACTTTTACATAATTATATTAAGGCCCAAATATTTGTGAAAAATGGATCAAATTTTCCCTTTTCAAGCCTTGATCTTTGTTGCACATTTTGTGTATGTTTTGAGTAAATTATTTCTGGGTTTTAGGGTGGGATTAAGGCCTAAATAATTTTGTTGAATTTATTTTCCTAAAAGGACATGTTCTTTTCTTCTTTGGGTTTAGGAAAACAATTGAAAAGTTGGGCTGGGGTTATTTGTTGGGTTTTGGGAAGTGGATTTGCCTTCATTTTCTTTGGGTGAAGGCATGGGCTTTGGTAGTTAAAACCCAACCCTTTTTCGTTGATTTTGCTTAATCAGAAACGGGCTAGCCCGTTCTTCCATGGTTCTCCATTGCGCCAAAGGCAAGTTTGGCTCACGAAAATAATCAGAAATGGCCCAGTGACCTTGTTTCTTAAGAAACCAGAAACGTAATTTACAAGTAGGTCCCTGGTCTTTTGAGTAATTCTATTGTGACCCTGAAACTTTTGATTTCTTTCAATTAGGTTCTTAATTTAATTTCAATTTGGTCTCTATATTTTATCTCTTGATTAATTCTGACCTCTAATCTTTATAATAATTTTAATTTGATCCTAAAAACTTTTTAATTATAATAATTAGGTCCCTAATAGCTTTGATTTTTTAAGTATAATTTGTTTATCTCCTTTAATTGTTAATCATGTTTCATTTAAATGCATTTAATTTGTAAATTTTAGGGATTCTATGTTTGTTCGTATTTTCTTATTATAGTAAAAGTGAATTTGATACATGTTTACATTTTTCTTTTTAATTGTTAATTAAATTGGTGTCTTGACTATTTTGTTGATTTTGAAATATAAATAGGGCAAGTTCCACCTTATTTAACTACTACTTCAAGGGAGGTACCTTCTATTATTATTTTAAGTTCTTTTATGTACTCCTATGTGTTTTTTTATGTGTGATTGCATGTTTTGAGTGTTTTTTCTTTTATTTACTCATTTTATTCATTTTAAATTTTTATTTGTTCTATTTAATTTTGATGATTATTTGGGAAGCATTTAAATGTCGAATTGTAATAGATAGTTGCCCAAAAAATGTATTTAGTTAGGCTATGTAATAGGTAGATTTTATTTTTATCAAAAATGTAATTAGTTAGATAAATGTAATAGATAGGTTTATTATTTTAAAAAATTTCCCTTCTAAATTGTGGTTAGGGCCCCCAATGTAATAGTTAGGTTTCACTTGCTTATTTGTTTGCATGCTGTGTGCTTGTGTACTAATGTGTTTTTTTTTTTTTTTTTTTGCTTTCTTTAGAATTTTGCATTTAGACATTATGCCTATGTGTTATGTGATATATGTGCTTTATGTGTTTATTTGCTTTAATTATACTTTACGTTCTTTATTTACTTATAATAAATACATGATGTCACCACACTAGTCCAATGCTAATTGTGTTCTTTCTTCCCGATTTGTCAATATTCCAATACTAGAGAGGACTTGTAGAAATGAGTTAGTCCAATACTAGACTCTTGAAACCGTTTTTTGTGCTAGATTCATACCTTGTGTGACATTTATTATATTTCATGCATTTTTATTTTTTGATTAATTTCATTTGCATGATATTTCTCCTACTATTATTCTCTTACCCTCTATGTGATTGGACCATATCATTTAGAATTGCATCTCATTTTAGGAAACTAGAAGTAGGTTAACCCATTTGTTTGCATAAGTTAAAAGGGTCATCCATCAAATATGGGAAATGAACGAATATGGTTTCTTAACCTTAGCACGCTCTCATCCCCTTTATAAAAGAAAGATTGAATCATGAATCTTAGTTTTCCGCACCCGTTATGTTGCATTTCCCTCTTTCAAGTCATGTATATTTATCTATATTATAATTTCCTCTTTTGAGTCTCATCTTTTGCATATTCGTGACCTCTAAGTCTAGATACGCATCCATATAGAAGAATTCTAATGTGATAAAATTTATAAGTTAGATTAGAAAAATTTTCGACTAAATCCTGCAACTAGCCTTGGCTAGGTTGCCTTAGGTTCGAACTTATCAAATCTTTGTTTTTCCTTTCTTCAATTGTAACTCCCGAACTTTTTTCTCTTGTTTTCAAGGATTTGGAGTCGTCTAAAAGGGTTTTATTTATTATTTATTTATTTAAAAATATTTTAGGTGATTTCATACACCTAAACTCAATAAGTGGCGACTCCTATTTTTTCTTAAAAACCCCTTTTACACTATTATTTTGGTCCCAAACCATCAGATATTTTAAATCCCATTTTAGACTCTTTTTCTTTATTTTCTAAAATCAAAAACTCATTTTTTAACATCATCTATTTTATTTTCAAAAAGGGGGTGCAACATATACAAAAAAATTAAAAAGTATACACGAAATTTACACCATCTTCTTTTTTCATCTATCACCACCATCCACCATCTCCTTCTTCCCCCTCTTTCCTCTCCCTCCCACTTCCTCCTCTCCCCCTTTCCTCCTCCTCTTTCCTCCTCCCCTTCTCTCTTCCCCTTCCCCTCCCCTTTCCTACCACACCCATCGAGGCCATGTATTAGAGGAGGGGAGAGGTGGGGTGTGGTGGAAAAAGGGAGGGAAGGGGAGGTAAGAGAATGGAAGGAGGGGAAAGAGAGAGAAGGAGGAAGAAGACGGAGGGGGTGGTGTGATCAGTGGTGGTGATAGATGGTAGTATTAATTTTTAAAAAAATATTCTAAAATTTTTAAATTTTAAAAATACTTCAAAATATATCCCAAAAACATCATCAAAAATATTTACAGTAAAAGTCTTTCATATATATTGTTACAATAAATTATTTCAAAAATATCCCAAAGACAACTAATCCAAACGAACCAGAGCTTACTAAGGGTTATTTGC